ACCCAACCTACCTGTCTAACTGAGGAAATCTAGAAGATAAGATGGATCTTGTCCCATTTATATAGGTTCAAAAACAAATAGACATAATATTTTGTATTAAGAAAACTGTATCATACACATTATGAAATATTTTGAAAATTGCACGATTAGTAACAGGAATTTGCAAGCTTCAACACACTTTTTTTTTCTTTCGTTCTGTTCTTAAAAAAATGAACGACCGTAAAAAATACGTCCCCGACATTCAGAAAACGGCCCGAGAAACCAAAATAAATACATAAATTCCCTTATGATTTAAGTGGGCAGGTATCAAATAGATAGAGGTCATTTTCATTGGTCGATAAACTAAAAAATAACAGCCAATTTTGGCGATCATCGGTGTTTAAGGAAAGCATTGGCAATGTCTTATAATGAAGGTTTAACACCCTCGATGTGGCGATTTAAATCTCATTAGTTGACTCGAACATGAAAAGACGCCGCCATATGTCAAGAACGCTGAGTTGGTTTACTTTCTTTTTTAGTGCAGATACACTGTCTATTGTTTTGTTTTCATCCTAAAGATCAGGAAGCCTCGAGCGGCTTGTAAAATAAATTGAAGCGATGCCTCTAAAGGAAACTTTGTTGGCAGGGTGGCCGCGGTACTTAAATTCACTCCACAATCCACGAAAAAGAAAAAGACGGGACGCTTTCCAAAAACGGTTGCCGGAATGAAATAAATTGAGCAAAAAGATTAGACCGCGCTCACAAAGAATACTAAAGACCCATCAATTGCGTTCGCCCTAAACGTACAACCACACAACAACAGCAACTCGAGCATTAGTATATTTCCTCAGCCTTGAACTGGGTATTGCGGCGAAAGCATAAACTGGTTTCAGTTCCAGCAAACGTCGACAGACAATTAATCCAGAGCAACGGAAAGGTGAGCCAAGATTAATCAGCTGTACGCTCTCTAGTTGTCCGACGTACGCTAAGAAGAATCTCCTTTCGAAATTGAGAAAATTGAAACCAGGATTATGTTACTCTACGTTACGTTACGTTATGTAACGTGACGGGACGTTATGTTTTACTTACAGTTATCCTATTGACTCCGTAAGCACTCCCTCAGACCACGGAACCATAAAAAGAAGAAATCAATGAACTCTTTCTAGCTTCTACGTTTATGCTGGGCTCAATGTACTCGGGGGTCGAAACACCAATAATTCGTCGCTTTGTCTGTTGAGCCAGAATGTACTTGTAAATACATTTCATCAAGAAAATCTTCAACGTTAAGGGAGATATTTGAACACCAGCGGTGTTTCTACTAGACACCAACGTTTGGGGAATCCACTTCCCTTCTTCAAATATGAGCACACTACAGTTCCCTAATTCAAGAAACAAAGGATCTTCCCGAAACGTTTGTTTCTACGGTTTACGAAATCTGAAGCGTGCTCGGCGAAGGTCGAGGGTGAAATTATGTTCAGACCTAAAAACGTGGTCGCACTATGACACTGAGCTTCTCACGCATAGGTTGCAGCGAATGGCACTCCCGGTTGTTTCGTGAAAAAAGTATACCTTCGTCTCGGAACGTAAACCTCGACTCTAACCCAAGTGACTATTTGACGCAATCTACCTTTAATTATAAGTCTAGTAACACCCGTATTCCCGACTCTTTGGCATTGCTTCCGGTGTTCCAGCTCGATAAGGCAGCGTACGTGATCTGCGGCTAAGAGCAGCTATATGTTTTATTTTCCTTCACGGGTACCGTAGTAGTTCACAAATGTATCTTCTGACGTTTCACACACACACACACAAAAAAAAACGAAAGCGAAGTAGAGCCGCTATTTTTGGGTGACCCGATCAGAAAGAAACACGTTGTCGCGAGGTTGGCCAACGCGACGGCTATGAGGAGGGCAAGTTCGTCTGCTTCTTTTATGGAAATTGTGGTGACGTCAGAACGCCGTGCTCTGATTGGTTCTGAACTTCAGAGCCAATCAGAGCTCGACGTTTTTCTGACGTCACCGCAACTCCTGCGCAAGAAGCAGACGAGTTGCTCCCCACATACTACAGACGTGCCTCTTGGAACGTACGAGGCGCGTATCCTCTTCGCTTGCGCGCGTGCACCCCCAAGCTAACAGCGCGGTGGGAGGAGCTGTAGCACCGAGAAGACAAGGCCCTGCGCGTGACGTCATCGTTAGTGGGTCCCCGACCCACCCCAAGCGGCAAACGCGCTGAAGCTCGACAAGAGTCCCCGCAAAGCGTCAGGATTGTCCTTCTTGGCGTCGCCATGTGCATATAGCGTCGGGCCTGTCCAACTACAACGCAATGTCTACTTTTCCTTCTCACTCGCGTGCAACCCCTTGTTAGCATCGATTGCGCAGCAAGAGCGATTCGCTCAAACGCAGAAGTAGCGTTTAGTTGCGTGGAGAAGCACTACACACACGGTAACAAGAAGATGGCTGATGAAAGACAGCACGAGCTGCTGTGAGTGGTTATTTTATGTACTCATCCCACTGAAATAATTTTAATATACCATAATTTTGAGCGCCTATATTAATGTTGCCTCAAGTTCTAGGGGTTCTAATCAAACTGCGATTTATAATTCAGATAAAAGAAGCACTTGTCATCTTATTGTGAATGTCAATTACATTTTATACGTAGAACTACATAACAAAACTTTCCATGTGAACGATTATATGCTTTTTTACATAAACACCCACCGAACTTATGGTGGTTCTTTTCAACCTTCCGTCACGGCTCCTGCCAATTTAGTTCTAATTCACTCGCACATATATAAAAGTGACAGCTAAACAAAAGAGTTGGCATCAAAGTAAGCCTACAGAAGAGTGCACATAAATCTTGATACGATACCGAGGTATCCTCGCTAAATACTGAATTGGGCAAAGGTACCGCCAGGCTATCACAGTTTATTGTATACACAAACCGAAGTTGTATTCAGAAGTTGACGAGTCTCGTTTTAAAAGAATGCTTTCCCCTTAGCACGCGGCTGCGCTGCGGCGAAGCAAGACACGCAAATTGTCGATGCTTACTTTGCGGTTGTCGTTTCTCCGCAGTGCACGAGTGCGCGGTGAGAAGCGCACTCAACGAAGCTAGCTAACCCGCCAAAACAAAACCGCGAACATGAGAATGATTGCGAAACTTCCGAGTTCAATCTTTGATATGAAATGCAATTATATAGTAAATTCTTTGAGGCAATAATCAAAAATTCCAAAAACTCGCATAAGCTTATCGTAACGACCCGTCCAGGTAGCGAGGCTCGAGCTATTATATTTTCGGTATTATTAAAGTGAAATTAAGCTTTGGTACAATGTCGGCGCAAATTCCTCACGTTTTTGTAAAATGTAAGAGGCTGTAGCAGGGTAATCACTTTGTCTCAGTTTGGCGCAAATGGCGCAGCAATCAAACAACTGCGCTTAGAGAGGGGAGAAAACGCAGCCTCGGTCTTCTAGTTGGTATTGGCTATACTCGCTCTCCTGACTATGCCTTTCGCTCCATGATCACGCTTCCGCCCGTACCCACGTGCAGTAAGAGCAAAGTCAGGTGATGAAACGAGGGTGTTTGATTTGCCCGACGAGCACGTTGCTTCCACCTCACTTCGAGCTTAGGGCTGAAAGGAAGTGTACAGACGAGGCGGCAAGTCTCGCTGCATGTGCGCCGGATTCGTCCCGGCTCTCTGTTTCCGCGCTAATGAGTCTCTAATGTGGTTGGCGCGTCGGTCACGCGGGTCACGGTGAAAGTGGTGGCCGGTCTCGTATTGAATGCGGGCGCCGAGATGTATTCACGCGCTTCGAGCTTGAGGGCTCCAATGTCAGGCTGACCGTCACCCACAACCCAGCCTTCGCCCATGCCGAAGCAGAGGCCTCCGATTGTGGGTGGACGATCTGTGCGAAGTCTATGAGGCACGGCGTCTTCTTAAATCTGCAGAATGACCCATCGAAATAGGGTTTCATGCATAGTTTAAGGGGGGGGGGGGGGGGGGGGTGCATTTTAACGTTATAGTAGCGAAATTCATTCATCGAGAAAACATGATTCTTTTTCATTGACTTCTTGACATGACAAAAAGCTAACAGAAAGCGAGATTTTCTTTTTGTCCGCTTGTATTTTATTATTATATATACTTAAGTTCAAAAATCGCACTGTTCTATTTGTACTATCATACTACAAACTCAATGAAGAATAAGTCAGGTCAGCCCAGGTATATAAAATGCTTTGCTGCTGCATTCGCCTTGAAGATTAGACGCAAACTGCAATATCTGATAATGTTTGTAACAGTAATGTTTGAACGAAATATTTTAGCGCTCTAGGTACAAAAGCTACCGGAAAAAAATTTTATAAAAAAGAAAAAAAAGCTTGACCTAATATAAAACTTACGAGAGACATAGAACTTGACTTCCGCCAAGTTTCTCCAGTGAACAAATACTGCGTCGTCTACCTTCCAAAGCAGACATTGACTGTGGTCTCACTAAAGCAAACTACGTCTATTACCTTTTTTTCCCCCTCCCTTCGCTGATTTTAGCCCAAAGCAGCTAGGCGTTTCATCTTCAGGCTAAGCGCTGCAAGAGTTTTCTAAACGAGCACCCTCTTCTCAGATGTCTTCTTTATTCATGAGTCGCAGGTATGCGCTTTAAAGTAACCGCACTTCAGCCGTATCGATGCTTAAAATCGTTGTTGCCAGTTCTATAAAGTTCTATCTGAAATCGCAGCAACACGTTTTCCGTACATCGTAAATCTTAAACAATTTAGCGACAGAGCAAATCGATACCGCTTAAGTCTTCTGACACCGTATTTCAAGCTCAGAAAGCCGCGCTTTTGAACCGTAACGATCACTATGTTGCGCCCGTTCCACACTAAGCACCAAATATGGCGGCGCCCACAAGAAAACAGAAGAACGGACATCTGGCACTGCAAGCGCAGATCCTTTCTAGTGACTTTAGCCGTTCCAAAGCCTGGAACTGACGTTCTCAATTTCCTGTTTTCCACAGGTATACCAACAGGCTGTATCCGCGATGGAAGTCACACCAGCCAAGCCACTTCTCTTGCTCGCCGTTGTCGCTGCCACAATTGCCGGAGTGACTCTGCAACTATGTCCCTACAACGACCCGAGGCACAGCATTTGCCGGTTCAAGCCCAGGGCCTGTCCTGGAAAGGTTCTCATTCGTAAGTGCTATCAAGCAGTGTCAGAATCAAGAGCGAAAGTCTGCGCATCTTAGCATCAAGAATGGTCATGATTCATTGTAGTCGCAGGAACCTTAAGAACGACAACACAATAAGAAATGCCCGCGAATCTATCCTCCCCGCAGCGCGATCTACGAAGCAGGCTCGACTGGTGTGGACGAATTTATTTGTAGCCATAAAAAGTTAAAAACTAGATCTGTAACTACACGAGTGCAGCGTGGCACTGAGCTTGTGACATTACGGTGTTTGCAACGAGTCTCCGAAGTTGTGTTTAGCGTTCCGCCCATGCATCAAATGTGGTCTCAAAGTAACAAAAAACGACGTCACAAAAGTCTGATTGTCATGCTGTCGGATGTCGCGATCCTGGTGGTTGGGCGTAAAAGTTCTCGAAAGAAAAAAAAAAAAAAAAACACGAGAGAATTTGAGTGTCGCTGTCGTCGCGGCGTCTCAACACCTGACCACCGAATCTTCCGTGGACTGTCAAGCTGGATAGCGACGTGCGGCAGAACAGGCATCTGCCACATCCAGCACCACTGTAGTGACGCCGCCAGGATCGCGGCAGGCGAAAGCATGACACTTTTATGACGTCAATCACGCAAAACTCGAGGGACCATGCAGATTAGGACGCGGTGAACACACCAGTCGAAAATGCGTTCCACTGCTCAGTGTCACACCGCAAACTTTATTTTTAGATCTTTGTATTTTTCGCCCTTTTCATTCGCCGTAGATAGCATGCGATACGGATACACCACTGAAAAACAAACGCACGAAAAGATTTTTTGCGGGGGGGGGGGGGGGGGGGGGTAAGTTTGGCGACGCTTGTGGTTTTGTGATTTGTTGCTAATCGAAATGGTTGATGAACTCATACAGTTTTAAAAGTCACTGAGTGCATACTGTATCGCGATGCACCCTTAAAACCGATTCTTGGTCTTCTTTCAGTCAGTTCCAGCAACGAGAAAAGCGATCGGTCTCATGTTCCAATGGTAGCTCAGACTCAGTGACCGCAAACCGCCCGCCTTTTTCAGCCGTTGCTCATTGCTCATAGGAGTGCGATCCTACTCATGCTTTTCACTGGCAAAGCTTATTAAAGGAAAACCAATGATTGGTGTTCCAAGGGTATAGTCGGACGGTACACATGCAGGAGCTGCTGAGAGTGTATAGGAACAGAAAGCGTCCTATTTTCCTGTAGTTCCGAGTCACTATTGTCGTAAAAAAAAAACGTTGTTCAAGAGGTCTCCTCCGGTGTATTAAAAACTGAGTATATATCTCATTTACCATAAAAGTCCCGGGAAGATTTCTGATGCAGAAACGGAAAAAGTAAGATGCATACCAGACTTTACGGCAGATGTTGCAAATAAGATACGTTATATTCGGTATCTATATGTAAATAAAAATAAAACTATGACAGAGCTATTGCAAGACCGTTCAACAGTATAAATAGATAACTGAAGAAAATATCAACCACATATTAGCTTCGCTACCCGCCAAAATACGTGAGGTGATTTTTTTTTTTCATTTTTAGTTACCATTTTTAACAAATCGTCGTTCGAATTTTGACGAAGAATGAATGAGAAATGAACACAATAATTGGAGTCGCCTACTTTCTACAACTACATAGATGACATTTAACTTTATATTGATATAACAACGAAAATTAAAGGAATACATCTATTTTAAGAATTAAGCTTGCCCGTCAAAACCTATACACATAGTATACAAAGTTTCAATTGTAACACAGAGAACGAGACTAGTGAATGTCGTAATACAACGTTGGGACGTGAAATGCCTACAAAAACAAAATCAAGCTGCAAGAACGACCAAAAATCATTTATCGAACGATAATAGAATACCGTCAGCCATCTTTCCCGTTGAGAACCATTCACATTTCGCCCCGTGACGGCAGTATTCATGGCGGAGACCATCGCGCTAAACGATTACCCCTAGCAAATGCACCATTCAGCAAAGGAACGTCCTTCACCTTCCGGTGCCGAAGACAACAAAGAACCGAGACAGGCATCCTGTCAACGCCGCTGGCACAACTCCCGCCGTCTTGCCGAGTCGCAGCATGCTCACGGTGAAGCACAATTTACATAACAAACACGCCCGAGAATAAATCGCACGTCGGGCATCCCTCGATTCTCCGCAAGAAAGATTACACTTGATAAATGTAAGGGCGTACAAAATGCTTTCACGATGAAGACCCATTGACAATGATGTCGAGCCTTTAGAGGCGTCCCGTTAAAGGTCTTACGTCAGTCTGTAGTCAAACAACTTAGGGAGACTCTTCACGGAGTTACATAATCGGTATGCTATTTGCTCGTGTCTCCGAACATAGCGCTGAAAACTTAGGCCTGCATGGCGTTTCAGCTGAGATGACAAGGAAGCACTGCGGGCGTGGTTACAGTTCGTCGAGTCTGTATTTGCTAACGTTCTTGTCTGCTCGATACAAAGATCACAGCCATTGGTATAGGACAGAACGAATCACTACGCTCGTACACCTCAAGGCTTAATATCCCCTACGACGAGGGCCGAATGGATCTAACCTACATCAAATAAGTCTCGAGAATCAGTTTCGCATGCTCCGACAATGTTTACAGCAAAAAGGTGGCTGGGTGGTCCATGTGCTCCGCAAAAGCATTGAAGTAAAAGCTTCCCCTAATCGAAAGTTACAAATAAAGAGCAAAATTCTCCCCTGGCTTGGTAAGGAGCTAAGTCTTTGTAGATTAAAAGTGAGAAAGCACTAAGTCATCGGGACACTTTATTGAATAAAACAGAAAACTAGAACAGTCAAGAAATTTTTCTTCACTCTTTTTTTATTAACTTTTTTAAAACAGCCACAGCGATATTTCTTTCTTCAGATTGGCACGAAAAATGTTTAAATGCCTGTTGTTCCGTAGGAAAGTTCTTGTTTTTAGTTGATTTTTAATTAAGAAATGTTTTGCTGTTTGATACTTTTAAGACACAAATTTACCACCCAGCTGCACCTTCGTGCTAAATGACAGTGTCGGGGTTTCAAAACTGCCTTTTTAGATTCATTTAAAAGAGGCTAGATTCATTTGGCACTTGCTGCTGTTAACCTAACTGTACAAACATTTCATTTTTATTTTTAGCGATTTGATATTTTTTTACGCTCATTTTTTAAAATGTTGGTTTCTTCCCCAATAACCATGTACCTGCACTAAACATGGGTTTTACTACAATGCACTTTTGTGCGCTTTATGGCTATGTTGATTCTGCTAAGAATACCCTTCCTGGGGTGATTTATTCATATTATTCACCTTCGTTGTCAAATGCAGTAAAAAAAATTTTAAACATCAAACTAAAGGACCTTTGGACCTAAGTTTTCGGTATTTAATACTTTTTTCTAGTTTTATTATGTTTGGGGTTTAATGCACTCTCCTTTTGTCTTCGGACGACTTGACAAACTCCCAGAATATGTTGTCAAAGTTTTGCGAAAGAGTACCTGTTTTATCTGATGTAAAACCTAAATAACGATATAAATAAAATACTATCATCATGTATCATTTTATTATAAAAGTATCAAATCAGTAGGAGCCAGCATCAATTGATGAAGTCTGTCAGAATTCTATAAAAAAAAACACACAAATTAAGATCGAACAAGCAGGGTGTTCAATCTTAACTCGAACCAATTTTTTCTTCTTTTTTTTTTTTTTTTTTAAGGGATGGGAGCTATACGAGTGCCGTCTTCACCATGTATTTATTAGGCTCGGCGGACATTAGATGAGGGGTCGATCGTCATGCTAAGTTGGCTAAATAACGAAAATTTGTAAATTAACTTTTTAATTATTGGTTTTAGGAGTCACGTTGGAATTCCATTATTAACGGCATTACAATTAGAAGGCCGACGAATTTAAAAGATTGGCGAAAATGTAATATATTTTAGATGTGATTCGATCAATTTTTGTTTCTGTTTTTTCTTTTCGCTCGATTTAAGAATCGCGCGCAAAAAATAGTACATCAAACCCTGCTCACAATGACGCTTGAAAGAGTGGCGTTGTTGTCTCGATTACGTAGTCGCTTGTGTCGCAGGTATACCCGCCAAATACACGCTGCCGAGATAGTGACGACATCACATAAACGACTACGTTACTATTCCAAGGGTCATTGTCAGCAGGGCTTCCGACTCTTTCGTTGAACGCAAATTATAAATCGAGCAAAAAACGCAAAAAAAATTATCGGTTAATACAAAGAAAACCATTACATTTTCTCAAATTCTTACTGGTTTGCCTCTAATGGCAGTTGCCGTCAATACTGCATGGTCAACACGACACCTAAATCCAATAATTAAAAAAGTTAATTAAGAAACTTTAGTTAAGTGGTCACCTTACCGCGAAAGTTATCCTCACATTTAATGTTTGTGAAGTCGGATAAATATACGGTGAAGACATAACTCGTCTAACTCTCACCCCCTATATTTGAAAAATCTATTCGTGTTAAAATCAAACAACCTGTATTGGCTACGTGCGCGAACTACAGGGGGCGCTTCTCCAGCTATCATCATCATCGTTTGTGACGCCACGGGTAGGACAGACTGGGAGAGAACGCGCAGATCTTCGATCACTCGGCTCGTCAGCTCGCTTCGTGCGCTCTTCGTGTAACGCGCGACAAAGCCTGTTTCACGCGTTGTGTTTATTTGGCGAAGTGATAATTGCAGTAGGACATTTTACCAAACCTTGAAACCGAGGCACGCGTAGTCATTCTAGCAAACACATATTGGGCGCTGAGATGCCGAAGACCTCGGATGGTGGTGTGCTGTTCTCTACCCCAGTAAAAAGAAGCGGGATGATGAAAGTAAAATGTCCAGCGCTTTACCCCAGGACATCACCTACCAGAACAAATACAGTTTTTTTTTTTTTTGTTTTTTATGATTCGATCAAAATAAAACTGAGAAAGGAATGTCTCATTAAATTTAAAATAGGAAAGCAAAATTCAATAACCTCTCGCGTGTGTTGTAAGCACTTCAGTGAATACGACTCTGTGTATCCTGTTGGTTTCAATGTGTTTTGTGAGTGCTGGTTTCTTATTAGTTCCGAGTTGATTCACTTTTGAATTTTGTAATCCAGGACCCAAGCATTTTCTCAAAATAACTGGCAGGAAGAGGTGGTGGCTGGCTTCCGGAGTAGTTTCAACTGAATCCCTCATTCACCCGGTCGACGCGAAGCGTGCGAGACGTCCTCGCTATCGAAGTCTTAATTCTAGTAAGTCGGTGACACAGATGTGTAAAATGCGTGATGCGCTTCTAAGCGAGCAATTTTAAATTTATAAACAATTTATAATAAAAAATGCTTTGAACAAATTAATCAATCACCTGAATTTGCGGGGCTAAATGACCAAAAAATTTAAGAATTTATGAACATTTCTGATTTTCTTTCCAGCAGAAGTCCCAATGTGACAGACTTCTTTGCCACGTATTCGATTCGGGAGGAGCTAATCGTCAGTTGCTGACGAGCATTTGCTCGGCAGCAACTCTCGAGTCAGACTGCGATAGAAGCGTCGGTATCGACAAGTTCAACGGTAGCTAAAACTAGAATGTGGCGCTTTGCAACACAACTGTGCGCGCGTGCACAGCTAAGAAGACAGCACGTGAATTACTCTGGTGAATGCAAAACTTTCTTCTACAGCAGCCTCCACAAATTTGAAGAAACAAGAATCAGGGGCTGTGAACAGCCCTGACGCACGCCGTGCAAGCTGTAATGTGAAATTCCAGGCTTGATTTTTAACATTTTAATGTCTTTTGCACTATAAAAATCAACTTCGAGGCGCTGTCATTCATTGGAAAGATCAGTCACAAAAGCGTCACACGCGTTTCTTTATTAAATGAACATTTTTTAATCGGAATCGATGCGAACTAACACAGCTACTTCGTGCTTTGGCATAGCGCGTCGTCTGCTCGCATCCTACCGGCTCCGTCATAGGAAGGCGCCCGCGAGGTGGCGCCACCAAATCATCTCGTCGGGAATATTAGGTGTGTTTGAATACTGTCTTCGCTATAATGCTCGACAATAATAAGAGTCACTCTAGTCCTCTATTCGCACCTCAGCTAGTCTAATCAAGTAAGATTCTAATTTGAAGAGCAAAACATCATGTAGTCACTTGCATTTGAAAGCACACATTTATTCAATGTGTGTTTTCAAACTAACTGACTCCCTTTTTTACTTACGCACTATCGAAAGAAAAAAAAAATCCCTGGTCATGGGCAAGTTGAAGTATTCGCCAAATCAACGCTTCCGTTAAAGCTATTTATGAGTTCAATTTTTCTTTCAGATTTATTAAAACGTTTCCGTTCAGTGGTCCTTCTGCAGTCAGTCGTTACAAACAATTTGCGTTAACTCGAAACCACAATCTGTAACTGGTGATTTTGTAAGCATATCTGCAAATAAAACTTTGCACCACAAGATTTAGTGTTTCGCAGTTAGATGTGACATTGACCTATAGGTATGTATGACGTATTGAATCTTCGATTTGACACTTTTTATCGCCTATACATTACCGATCACTCAATGGGTTCGTTCGAGGTTCACTCTTCTCTTTTCTTCTTTTTACCTTTTTTATACACGGCGCCAATTATAGACGGCGAGTTTCACTAACAACTTTCAGAATGTCTATGCGGCAAATCTAAGAAGGACATAGCGTACAGTTTAACTTACAAATACGAGAAAAACCTAAAGCCTACCGGCTCCTAAGTTATAATTGTTTCATAAATTGATATTTCATTCTTTTCTTTTCGCAACAATGCGCAATAAGAGAGCCTACTGGGGTCAAGCGATTAACTCGACGTCCATCTGAACGCCCCCATCGCCGAGGACGTCGCCGCCGTTCCCCCAAGTTCAAAACACTCACGCGACTCACGCGATCGGCACGATATGCCCTTCTTCGGAAGCTAGTGTTACTACCACTGCTCCCGCCGATCTTGTTTACAAATCGCGTGCGCGTCTCATCTCTGCGGTTGACCTGGAGCGGCGAACTGGTTGACCCAGCTCGCGTCCGAGACCTATTCCGCCTAGAAGACAAATCCTGTGCATGACGTCACTGCTAGCGGTTCCCCGACCAACACCTCCTATAGATAACAAAGCTTTTCTGCTGATAGAGATGTCGTCATCGGCGAAGGCCAACGCTGGGCACAGATTGGACGCGACGATTGCGTCAACGTTCGGCTCAAACTTGACTCGACGCCGAGCGCTGACGCAGCACTCGTTTCCAATCTGTGTCCAGCGTTGGCCTTCCCTGGCAACGCAGAAATGTCAGCACTACGGCCTTGTCTCTTAGGTGGAGTTGCCCCGACGCGTCCCAAGCGGCAAACACGATGAAGATGGACGAAAGACGCCGCCGTAGAGCAGCAGGCGCGTCCATCTTGGAGTCGTCGCGTGCTTGCGCGGCGCAAGTTCGTCTGCTTCTTGTACAGGGCTTGGGATTATGTCAAAACGCCGAGCTCTTTTAAGCCGATAGAAAGAAATAGTGGGTAGACCTCAAGGAATCTAGCATTGAGGTCTACCCACTATCCTTTCAATCAAAGCCAATCAGAGCTCGGCGCCTTTGTGACGTCACCACAACTTCTGCGCAAGAAGCAGACGACTTGCTCTCCGCATAACGTCCCCCTTGTTGTGAGACGCTACAAGACGCGCTGTCGACGATGCTGACGGCGTTGGCCGTCTGCGTGGAGGGTCACTAGTGATGACGTTTGGCTCGGGGGGAGTCGCCGGCCTTGTTTTTTACGTGGTTTTGCCGAGACACGCCGCCTCGCTCTCGCACCTTCTAGGGCGATCCCTGCCCTCTTCTCGCTTCGAAACGTCATTAGCCGACCGAACACGAGAGCACGCCGAGACAGAGGTCGACGTCAAAGGCCACGGTCTCGATGCTCGCAGGATATCCCCCGGTCGAGGCTCCTTCTTCGGATATCTGCCAAGCGTGCGGCTGCACGGAAGTCTGACCATAAGCGGCGCCTCGTAAAAGCTGTCCTCTTCCCAGGACGAAGGCGAAACCGTGCGGTTAATTTTTCAGTCGTGTTTGTTTCGCGTTTGGAACGACAAGTATGGGACGCCCTGAGGTTCTGGTCAAAATGCAACACATACTCGTCTGCTTGTGGCGAACCTGCTGGTGACAAAACAGACCATAGTCTGAATGACCAATCTTCTTTATGCCTATTTTACATTTGCGTACACTGGCTTGACTTGCAATCATGCGGTTACGCTAACGTGATCGACAAACTGCACCCATGTATGATTGGTTATTTTGAGACGTCTATTACTCTAAGATATCTGGAACGTATAATTTTCTGCAAAGCACTTGAGAGCAGCCTTGAGTAAGTTACCTTGAAGAAGTAATTCGCTCTAGTGTAAGCCAGAGTATAATACCTTCGGTTGTACCGAATAAACACATCGAAAATATCGTTAGCTCTGCTATTGTGACTCAGAAGTGACCGGAATATGCACATTCGAGTTAACGTTGCGATTAAGTCGAAGCCGCCTCAGCGGGTGTAACGTGTGTTCAGGCGCTGATACATATAATGATATGTTGCGTGAATTTGTCGAGTGAGAGTCCCTAAAAGTGATGGATAGTACCATGGGCATGTTTCAATATTTATTGAAACGATACTACTTGCCGCTTTGTTCCTTACGTATTTATTGAAGAACTGATTTAATGGCCTAGGTTACCGGTATGTGTCGTCTTCGTTCTAAATGTTTATTCTTTTTTTCAATCTTGACTCGCATCAACACGCTCTTCGTACATTAATAGCTTAATTATCTTTACACCACGGGCATTGAAACATTGTTAGCGCCACGGGCATTGTAAACCTGATAACTTTACATGTATACAGGGTGCGCAAAGACCAGCACATTTGGCCCACGCCCTACAAAATTCAAATTCTAAACGTATATACCCGAAACTGGGCACGCGAACGTCGTTTCGTAAAAAGTATTGTGTCTATTCTCTCTCTCCCTCTTTCTCTCTTTCTCTTTATATATATATATATATATATATATATATATATATATATATATATATATATATATATATATATTTCTTTCTTTTGTTTTAGAGATCAATTTTAGGGATGGTGAAATGTTAAATATAATGCAAAAATGGCGGCAGTGTATCCTTTATGTTCTATACCAGCCTGTTCGTGGTCTGCTCATTGGTTTTCGACTCGCTCCGGGTGATTAGCTGAACGTAAAACGCCGGGGGTGGTTTGTAGAGGCTTGCGATGAGCGGAATAATTGCGATGTGTAATAATTTTAACGAAATATGTGACCGACGACCACACGGCAGCAAGCTCGCAAACCTGTGTGCAGACGATGTTTGCACTATTTTTAACATTTCACCACCTCCGAGTTTAGCTCTAAAAAAAATAGACATAAAAATAGACATAAAACCTTTGTGACGCGACGTTCGTGTGGCCAGTTTCAGGTACGTGCGATTAGATTTGGAATTTTCCAAGGCGTGCTAAATGTGCTGGTCTTCACGGCCACACTCCATATGTATGCGATTCCTATAGCTCTGGTGATCTCACGCGCCTCGTTCTTCGGGCAGGCTCAGGCGGAGTGACCAAGGCCCAGCAGCTGCACATCTTGGACCTGCACAACCAGTTGAGGGCCTGGGTTGCCGGAGGATTTCAGAGAGGTCTACCTGCCGCCTCGAACATGAGAGCCCTGGTAAGATGTGCAGCATTCCAGCCTGCCGCGTTCTCGCTTCGTTTGTTTTCTGGTTAAACAGCCCCCAATCTGCAACGAAATGTGATTATAAAGATGTGAACATTAGGAAAAATAGGCCAAGCTATGTGTCGATAGCATGTAGTAGGTTGGCCTCCATCCCGTCCTGCCACTACCCGTGATGCCATGATTGCGCATTCATAGGTCATTGCAACATGGGAATCAATTCGTTTGGTATTATTCATTTCTAAAAGCAAAAACAAAGTTAACAGAAAAAACGGCTTGTTCTTTATTGCCCAGTCGCTTTCTCTGAGGTTTGAAATTCGATATTTGCAAGATTTGATTGTTCCTTTCACGCTGGACATAAAAGGATGTTGGGGATTCCGCATATTTAATTTGTGCTAAACATCCGAAAATTAAATCGCCTTCTTTTTAATTATTAAATAGAATCTGTTGCCTCGGAGAGATGAAACTGACTAGTCCATAGATAGATAGACTGATGATCAAAAAAGAAAGATGAAAAATGTGTCGCAAATGGCGAACTGTGGAAGCTAAGGCCCACGCACCCAATAAGAGCGTTGGAGCGAGACACGTGACACCACGACACGGGAGCGTTTGTGTTGACCTTGGAGTGGTCACGTGCCTCTCCACCCCATTGACTCATTGATTGATTGACACTTTCCCCGTCGGGTGGCCTGTTTCCATAGAACTGACAAGCTGCGGTCGGTCACGTGTCAATTTTTCCTCTAAACTTAGCGGGAAAACTAAATTTGTGCGTAGGTCACAAGAGATCAAACCATGTAACATCATTGTTTCCACTAAATTTAGCGGGGAAACTGAATTTGCATATAGGTCACGTGACATATCATGGCACGAGACGTCACTTGTTTCACTAAGTTGAGCGAGGAAACTGAATTTGTGTAAGGTCACGTGACATGAAGCCATGTGGTGTCATTTTCCCGCCAAAAATTAGCGGGAAAATTCGCGGTTACGTTTTTTTGTGGCTTCACTTCATTTAAAAACCTAGCCTATAAACGTTTCACATTAAAACTCAATTAACCTTGCTTATCATCGTGGTCTGCCACTTCGTATTGGGGAAAGAGGAAAGGGCATCAAAAGATTAGCAAATCTATCGTTTGTGTTCGAATGCTATACAAATTGGTGTTCTGTTTGCAACTACTGTTTGTATTTTACCAACCGGTTGGTTACTTCGTTTTAATTTTATTATCCTATTATCGTATTTGAGGAGTTAGTGTATTATACCAGGATACCCTCGAATTACATCAAATCGAACTGACCTAATCACGTGAGCTTCTCTCTAACTAAGAGCGCGATGCTCTCGAGATTCAACGATCGTGACAGCCTAGCGTTACCATTCAGGGTTTAGGGCAAGATCCTGCGGTACAGAGGAATAGTCGAGGTCGTCGACAGCTCAAGGCCTATGCGGCGTCGGGCAGTCAAGGTCACATTCACGCAGATTTGACTCAAAGGGCAACTCTGGTCCAAAACGAAACCAAAATAAATGACTGGTATCGCTTTAGTGGCACGAAATATGATCGCAGCCGAAATATTACGTCACGGTGAAGCCGCGTACTCCACTAACACCGATTTTAAATATACCGCCCAGCTGCTCTTTAGCGGGCGGAAGGCGAGTTAGCATTTAGTTAAGGAACACTGGCGCAGACACTTGTGACGTCACGTCGCGGTGTAGCTGTTGTTGAATAATTGTACCCAACGTTATTAGATTAGCTCAGTTACGGAACTGCTCACAGACGCTGCTTGCACGAGCAGTACCCCCCTCACTCACCACGACTCGCCTCCCGTCGTCCGACGCGCCGGATGGCTGCCATGGTAACTGCAGTGTATCCTAGGAATGCGTACGTTTCGGAGCGCAGAGTCTAAATGGCGTTCCACCGTATTCTATGGAACATAGTTATAAAACGAAAATCTAGATGGCGCTTCAAACGACGGGAGACGGACTGAAGTGAGTGAGGGGGGGTACCCCTTTCTGCTGATGTTCCACGACTGAGGTAACCTAATAACATTGGTTGTACCGCGTACCGCAGCAACTTTGTGACGTCACGTCGCGGCCGTACAGTTGATGATCAGTCTTGCCATCCCTCTAGCTAGCTGATAGTTTCGGTTTTGCTCTAAATGCCCGAAACCAAACTTTGAGCCGTTAAATTTATAAAACCACACACAATATCGAAAAAAAAATATTATAACTGGTAATCCAGAGACACTGCTTTAGCTGAAAACAGTCGTAAACACAAATTCTAATATATTGTTGCGTCAACTGTGTTGCGTTGTGCAGCGCAGTGTTTCCCCACTGGCTCGTCATAAAAGGGTCGACATAGCACCAGCTCAACGCAAGCACTCTTGACGCAGTCAAACGCAACTGTGTAAACGAGCCTTTAGCGTGACCGGCTTGCCGGCAGTTTAATATTTTAGACCCATGCTACGAATAAAAAAAAAAAGGGCGCGGGGTGGCCATAAAAACACGCTTTTCGTGTAAGACTCGGCAAATTATGAGGCGCTGGAGAAAACCAGCCTTCTGCGTCAAGTCTTTATTTCTAACTCTTTTTGTTCGCGTTCCACCAACTGAAAAGCATGCGAGAAGCGCCTCAGCACGCACCACATATCGCTGCGCCGCAGTGTTCTTCCGCAGAAAAAAAGCCGTCTGCTTTCATCGCCGTCACCATGGCAACGAACGCCACATGACCTTTTCGGGCGGTGCGTGCATCACTGGGGAGTGTGTTAACCCATACGCCGCTTGCGTTCACGCCGCGTCGCGGCGACAGTCTGCGGCTGCTCATTGCAAAGCTATTGAACTTTAGGTTGCAGACGGCGTTCGGAAAATCGCCATTCGTTGCCATGGTGACGGCGATGAAAGCAGATGACCTTTATGCTGCGGAAGAACACTGTGGCGCAGCGATACGAGGTGCGTCCTGAGGCCCTTCAAGCATGCTTTTCAATGGACGGAACGCGAAAAAAAAAAAGTTTGAAATAAGGAATTCACGGAGAAGGCTGGTTTTCTCCAGCACCTCATAATTTGACAAGCGTTACACGAAACGCATGTTTTTAGACCAAAGTTTAAGGATATATATATATATATATATATATATATATATTTTTTTTTTTTTTTTTTTTTTTTTTTACAACAACATTGGATTGAACTTGTATCAACGTTCCGGCTTGGCTTCGGACAAAGACGTGCTCAAGAATCGTACGCTTATAACAGCCTCATTCATGGTATACTGAATGGCTGGCTAGGGGAAGGCGGGGTCCCGTTGTGTCAGCAGCAGGTCGCAGCGAGACAATTAATTGTAGCCCACAAACGCATGGATTTAGGAATGGCGTCAGTTATCGGGAACTGGCCCCGTTTTCCCGTTGATAGTTCCATAAAACCCCTTTTTAATTAGATAACGGTTAGTTCTGAAACATTCGCATATCTGACCCGAACTGCTAGCATTGCCTGAGGTTGAGCGTTCGGCAACGCGCAACATAATTTTGCAATAAAAAAAAAAAAAAACGCTCGCATTGTACGCGTAGTTTTTTGCGGGGACGCGCTGCACTTTACATGCGGGTTTCTTCTGTCTAAGGAGATTCAGTGTAACGGCTCTGTGCCGGAATTAACGACCATTACGCAGAGGAGGTCATTTAGTGTCCGCGCACGTTTCCTTTTGCAGAAGAAGCAAGCCGTCATTTATTGGGACGGGTTGAAGCTTATAAGAATGAAAACTAAGAGCGCGAGCTCAAAGTTACCGCCCTGGTTCATACGGTCAATTGAAATTCAACACAGGGCTCACCAGGCACAGCGGCATAGCAGACACATTAATTTCGTCACGCACGTGGCTGGGAACACAGCGGAACAAGCAGTATCTAAGTCGTCGTGTTAGCGATGCGAATAACTTAAGATTCGGCTAGGATTCTTCCAGGGATCGAGGTCTGCGCCGTCACCATCTATCTCCCGTGTTCTGGCAATAAAACGACTAAAACAAACCCGAGAGTATGAAGACCGCGCAATACCAAAGATGACGTCGCAGACAAAAACTACTAAAGAAAAACTACGTGTTCCGCTGCATTATGTGACCAATGCAATGACAGATACGAAAACGTGGCGTCTAGGCGGCACATTGAACTCCTTTCCTGGTCGCGCGCGGTCTAGAGCCACTGAATAATCTATCTTTGCGCTCCCTACAATCACGTGGGTTTTTTCATACGGACGCCGTCGGATATTTGCATAAGGAGGCACTAGCTGCTACCGCTGTAAAGATAATTGTAAAAGTGACAAGTTAAACTCCGCATCGAATGACCTAGCTAGGATAGATGATCTGGTAAAATGCGTTGCGATTGGGAGTCATCGCAGGTGTATTTTATGAAGTTTGGGTAACTTTTTAAAGACTTGTAGAGGCGCCTTCCTTTTCTTGTCGGTATCATGAAAAGTAATCAAAGTAATTGATTACTTTTTGATAACTTCAGAAAGAATGATAGCGGTGACTAATTTCTCTGTCAGGGTCACGCAGCCAGTCAGTCCTTCGCACAAAGACGAGGGGAGGTGTTCGCTACAACACTCTTCATACTACACTTGGATAAAACAAAATAAAAGCTGCGTGTTAGCGATTGGAGTAAGCTCACAGAAATATCTTCTTTTCTTGTCTTTTCTTTTTTTTTTTAACACGTCGGCGGACGCTACGAGGGTTCGGATTATTTTTCGAATTTCCTGAAGTAAAATTGATAAATGGAGTGTAAAGTAACGAGTTATGATAATCACGTGCATGTGCAATATGGATATCCGCATTGTTTTAATATGTTTGCTTTGTTCTGTTTTTTTTTTGTTTTTTTTTGTTTTGTTTTGTTTTTTGTAATCCCGCGCTGATCACGCTACGCAACAGATTACGCACGCACACTGTGAGGACGTGTTTTAAAAGAATTGCCCATTCGTAAACGTGATAGTGCAACAAAACAGTGTGGGGATCGCGCGCTCATTAAAATTTAAGATA